TCACCGTCCGCGAGACCATCACCCTCTCGGCCATGCTGCGGTTGCCTGCAAGCATGACGCAGGAAGAGAAGCTGATGCGCGTGGACAGCGTGATTGCAGAGCTTGGGCTGGCTAAGTGTGCAGACACGTTTGTGGGCAATGAGCTGATTCGCGGCGTCTCTGGTGGCGAGAAGAAACGCGTCAACGTCGGCACAGAGCTCGTCACCAACCCTTCGTACGTCTGTACGCATGCGTACATGTTGGGGTGCTACGGCTGATGTCTGCGTGTGCACGTGGGTGGGTGTTGTTGTGTGTGTGTGTGTGTGTGTCTGTGTCTGTGTCTTTTCATTGCCATGTGTGTGCTCACTCATTGTTGTGCGTGTGTGTGTGTGTGTGTGATCAGGTTGGTGTTCCTTGACGAACCAACGTCGGGCCTCGATTCATTCAATGCACAGAATGTCATGCAGACGCTGCTCACCCTCGCCAAGAGCAACCGCACCATCATCGCCACCATCCACCAGGTACAGGCTTGTGCGTATGTGTGTGTGTGCATGTGTGTGCATGTGTTTGTGTTAATGTGTGTGTGTCTGTGTGATTCGTGCCTTGCTCTCGTTACTTCAACTCACCAACATCATCACCACCGCCCTCGCCACCATCGTCGCCACCAGCCGCGCTCGTCCATCTTCCAGATGTTTGACCTGCTGCTCCTTCTCTCGGAGGGCCACACCATGTACTTTGGGCCCGCAGCAGACGCCGTCAGTTGCCCCGTGTTTGTGTCTGTTTGAGTGTGTGTGTGTGTGTGTGTGTGTGCTGCTTGTGTGTTGTGTGTGTGTTGCTTGTGTGTTGTGTGTTGCTTGTTGTGTGTTGTTCTTCTTGTTTGCACACCAAGCATTGTCACGAATGCACCGCATTCCCTCGTTTCATGTCGCTCTCTTATCAGCATATCCCCCTCTCCTCTCCTCTCACCACCACCTCGACCTTGACGGCAGGTTGGCTACTTTGGCAGCATTGGGTATGGGTGCCCGGACGAGTTCAACCCTGCCGACTACTTCCTCGACCTCGTGTCGCTCGACCAGCGCAACCCGCGCGCCCTCGACGCCACAAGGAAGCGCATTTCTTTCCTCAGCGAGCGGTTTGAGGAGCACCAGCAGCGGCACCCGGTCGTCACAGACGTGTCTGACGTCATCTCCCAGCACGAGAAGGACTTGCTTGCAAGCAACAGCGGCGAGGGCAGCGGCCGTGCCCCGGCCAAGTACAACACGTCGTTTCTGCGGCAGTTTGTGCTGTTGTACCAGCGCTCGCTCAAGGCGATGGCACGGGAGAAGATTGACAACATTGCGCGGCTCGGGCAGACGGTTGTGTTTTCGATCATCCTTGGCATCATCTGGCTGAACGAGGGCGGGAGTGGGGACTCGTCGTCGGTGCAGGCCATTGCCGGCGCCATGTTCTTCCTCCTCATCAACCAGTCGTTCAGCGGCATCTTCGGTGCGCACGGCAGAAGCGGGGGCGGGGAAAGAGCTTTGGTGTGATGTTGTTGTGGGTTGTGGAGGAAGGGGGGTGGGTGTTATTGGTGCACGTGTGTGTGTGTGTGTGTGTGTGTGTGTGTGTGTGTGTGTGTGTGTGCGTGTGCGTGTGTGTGTGTGAATGGGTGATGTTGTTGTGGGTTGTGGGTTGTGGAGTTGCGTGAAAGGGTGTTGTTGGTGAGTGTGCATGTGTCCGTGTGTGAATGGGTGTTGTTGGTGCATGTGTGTGTGCGTGTGTGCGTGTGTCAACCCATCAGCAGTCCCTTTATCAAACCTTCACTCTCATCTCACCACCTCCTCCACCACGTACCAACTTTCACCGCGGTCACCACGGCAGGCATTTTGTTCATCTTCCCTGTTGAGCGGGCGGTGGTGTTGAAGGAACGCGCGTCCCGTTCGTACCACGTCGGCGCGTACTTCTCCGCCAAGACCGTCGCAGAGATGCCACGCTCCTTCCTCCTCAACCTCCTCTTCTCCATCGTCACCTACTTTATGGTTGGCCTGCGTGGCGGCGCGGACCACTTCTTCCTGTATGTTCTCACCATCTTCCTCGTGTCCCAGACGGCGGAAGGCATTGCGCTCATCGTATCGGCCATTGCAGACGATCCGCAGCAGGCCGGCGCAATCTCCCCCATCTTCATGTCAGTGGCACATCCTGTGTGTGTGTGTGTGTGTGTGTGTGTGTGTGTGCGTGTGTGTGCATGTGCTTGTATGTGTGTGTTTATGTGTGTGTGTGTTTGCATACATGTGCTTGTATGTGTGAACTACTTGCGCAAATCACTGTGCTCGTGTGCGCGTTGCTGGTTTGGTTGGCTGCAAAATCATGAATCTCCCGTTCCCACTTGTTTGTCGTTCCTTACACATTTAACCCCACCATCCCTAACCCAATGCACCCGTGTTCTGTTGTGCCCCCCCCCCTTACTCTTCTCCTTCCCCCGCCCATCAGTGTGACGAGTATGCTGTTTGGCGGCTTCTTCATTGGCGTGGACCAGATCCCGGCCTGGCTCGCCTGGCTCAAGCACCTCAGCTTCCTCAAGTCAGTGCGCGCGTGTGTGGTGTGGTGTGTGTGTGTGTGTGTGTGTGTGTGTGTGTGTGTGTGTGTGTGTGTGTGTGTGTGTGTGTGTGTGTGGTGTCACGCATGCGAGCACACCCCTGTGTTTGCTTTGACGTCATGTACGTCTGCACGAGTGCTGTGACCTCTACAGCAGCCCTGACCCCGGCCCCAAATCCCTGCCTACCCAAATCGCTGCTCACCCAAATCGCTCCTCACGTCATCATTTCCCCCCCCCCCCTCTCTGTATTCTTCGTGCACAGGTACGGCTTTGCTGCGATTATGCAGAATGAGTTTGAGGGCCGCATGCTGGATGCATCGTGCGCCACCACCGTCGCTGTCAACGGCACCGCGTCTGGCGCGGGCGATGACCTGTGCTTTGCCACGGGCGAGGAGGTTCTCGACTTTTACAACCTCTCCGAGCTGTCCCTTGGTGCCAATATGGGGGTGCTGCTTGGTCTCATTGTCGGCTTCCGTCTCATCTCCTACTGGATTCTCCGGCGCAACGGGCCCGTCTACGACACGGCGCTCTGACCAGGCTGTGTGCGTTCCTGTGTGTGTGTGTGTGTGTGCGTGAATGTGTATGTGTGCGTGTATGTGTGTGTGTGTGCATGTGTCTGTCTGTGTATGTGTATGTTTGTGTGAAGGTGTGTGTGTGCGGTGGTGTTTCCCACATGCGCGCGAGAGACTGTGTTGAACACAACAAGTACAAATCAAGCTATTTCAACAACACAACACGACTCTCATGTTGTCTGAAGTTCAATGAGGATGCACGTTGTGCCGTGAGATGAGACGCTGCAACACACACACACACACACACACACACACACACAGACACACACACACACACACACACCACACACACACACACACACACACACACACCACACACACACACACACACACACCAGCAAGTGCGCGCTGTCCCGACACCACAAAAGGCGAGTGCGCAAGAAAATAAAAAACAATACAACACCATTATTGCGCGATGCTGTTCATATCTTTCGTCAATAATCGGCAAAGAGGGGCGGGGTGTGTGTTTCTCTTTTCGCGTCGCTTGTTTTCCGCCAAACAGACAGACACCACCAACCAAGCAAGAAGCAAGCGACCAACAACACCACCCACAACAAGCCAGCAACCAATCAAGCTGAGGTCTCCATTGCTCTCTTGCTCCGAAGACGTGAGACGAGTGTCTTGCTTGGCTGGTGTGTGTGTGCAGGCACGGTGGCGGTGCTTGAACACGCCGTGTTTATACGTTTGTTTGGCCATGACTTTGTTTGGCAGTGACGTGACTGTATGTTGGACTGAGACGCAGTGTTGCAAGACCTTGTGGCGAGTGTGACTGTGCGTGCATGTGTTCATTTTGTTGCCTGTAGTATGGTGTTGTTCGTTGCATGTCCTGCACCGCCGCCGCCGTCGTCCTTCTCATCCACGCATCCTTTGCTCGCTTGCTGTCTCAGATAGTCAGGGGTCGTCAACCATCGCAGGGAACAACCACGCCCTTTGCGCCACAACAACAAATACGACACAAGCACCACCACCACCACCAACCACACACACTCCCATAACACAACAGCATGGCCGCACGCCCAAAGAAGAAGTTGTTTCGGCTCGGTCCGGACGCTGTCATTGAGGAGCGCACTGGCACCAGTGTCAAGGTGACGCCCACAAAGGCGCCACTGTTCCAGCCACACGTCCCCTCCTTCAACACTCGTCAGCAACAAGAACAACAGCAACAGCAGCAACAGCAACAGCAACAGCAACCGCAGGCTGAGCAGCAGGCGGCCGGTCAGCAAGAAGCGAACAACGCGGAAGCAACCACCCCTAACGGCAGTGCGCCAACAGAAAGCACCACGCCCAACGGCGGCGTTGCCTCGCCGTTTGGACGCCATCAGGCGTCGAGGTGGAGCGGGAAGAAGCCGCCGCGCCAGTGGCCGCCAGCAGGCTCCGATGACGCCGGCGGCGGTGACAACGACAGCACTGCAGACAGGCAAGGTGGCGTCAGGGAGAAGGCGGCTGACAGTGGGACGGCGAGCGAGGCGCCAAGCACGCTGCGAAGCGAAGACGGCCTGGACAAGGACGACGCAGACAACAACACACCAAGCAACAGTAACACCGCCAACAACAGTAATGACAACAACACCACCGGAAACAACAGCACAAACACCACCACTACCGCCGCCACCAACAACAACAGCGCCGCCGCCACGACAACAAGCGCCATCGCCGCGGGCAGCACTGCGAGCGCTGCGCAGCGACGGGCGTCCAGCAGCTCCACCGCAAACGCGATGACAACAACGCCGACAGCGGGGATGTCGCGAAGCAGCAGCGGACGGAGCGGCGATATTGGCAACGAGGAGTGGCGCCGGCGGTCGAGCCGGCGTGCAAAGTCCGATATGAGCTGGCGCAAGTCGACGGCTGATGAGCCGGAGGAGGGCATTGTGTCGACGCCACTGGCAGCGACGGGCGACGCGGGACACGGCGATGGCGGTAGTGAACCTGCCGCAACTACAACCGCCGCCACCACACAGGGCAGCGGCCAAGGTGGTGGTCACGTGAGCGGTAGCGGTGTTGGTGAGGTGACGCCCACGGCATCAACGACATCTGTCAACGCAGATGACTCCTCCCCAGAGCCATCGCCAGCAAAGAAGGGTGTGTGTGCGTGTGTGTGTGTGTGTGTGTGTGTGTGTGTGTGTGTGTGTGTCGTGTCGTGTGTGTGTGTGTGTGTGTGTCGTGTGTGTGTGTGTGTGTGTGTGTGTGTGTGTGTGTGTGTGTGTGTGTAAGTGCTTGTAACACACAATGTGTTCTTGTTCTTCGCTCCGGGCATAAGAGAATTTCCATGATGTTGCATGCATGCAAACGGTCGTATCACGTCATCCCCATCCCTTGCTTTTGTCTTTCCCACACCGCCAACTTACATGCATGCATGCATGCATGCAATTGTGCAGGAGCGCAAGCCCGAGGTGGTGGCTGAGATCAACCAGAACTGGGTGGTGGATGTTGAAGGGAAGCAGGACGCAGCACACATCCGCGTTGTCACACACGAGCGCACCTTCTTCTTCAAGAGCCCGTCCAAATCAGACGCCCTCGAATGGGTACGTGTGCTTTGTGTGCTTTGTGTGCTTTGTGTGTGTGTGTGTGTGTGTGTGTGCGTGTGTGTGTGTGCGTGCGTGTGTGTGTGTGTGTGTGTGTGTGTTGCGTGTGTGTGTGTTGCGTGTGTGTGTGTATGTTTGCTGGTTGTGTGTTGTGTGTTGTGTGTTGTGTTGGTGTGTGGGGTGCAGGTCGTGTTTCCAAACATGTCACCCCAACTCATCCCACCACCACCACCACCACGATGACGATGACGATGACGATGACGATGACGATGACGATGACGATGACGATGGGCAGGCGTCGTGTATCCGGCGAGCGCGGGAGAGTGGGGCTGCACGCAAGCGACAGGTGGTTGAGGTGCGGGTGCAGCGTGACGGCGACACGCCGTTTGGTTTCAGCATCGCTGGTGGTACCGATTCAGCGAACAAAGACTTTACAGGCATCTTCGTCGCAAACGTCAAGCCCGACAGCATCGTCGCCGTGAGTTGCTGCTTGATTGTGGTGCCTGTGGGTGTGTGCGATGACGTGTTGGTGTGTGCGATAACGGGTGTGTGTGCATGTGCATACGTGCGTTTGCGTGTGTGTGCGTGTGCGCATGTCTCTGTGCATGTGTGTGTGTGTTGTGCTGATTCCCGTTTGTTGTGTGCACTTTGAACCGGCCCCTTGTTCGTCCACGTCGCGTACCCCGCCCTCCTCACACCACCGCCATTTCCTCCTTGTGCAGTCTGTGCTGTTCCGGTCAGACCAGTTGCTCACTGTTAATGGGCACACGCTCGACAACAAAACAAACGCAGAGGCAAACAAGCTCCTCTCAGAGGTGCGTGCTCTGTGTGTGTGTGTGTGTGTGTGTTTGTGTGTGTGTGTGTGTGTGTGGTGAATTTACGCTTGTTGTTTTCTCTATCGTCCTTTAATCGCCCTTCGTCCTTCTCACCCCTCCCTTCCGTGTGCATCGTGTTCAGGCGCGTGGCACCGTTGTCTTCCAGGTCGCCCGCAAGCGCCGCCGCCAGGGTGAGCACACGTGTGCGTGTGTGTGTGCGTGTGTGTGTGCGTGCGTGCGTGTGTGTGTGTGCATGTGTGTGTGTGTGTGTGCACTTGTGCCTGTCTCTCTCTGTCTCTCAAACGAGGTGCACGTTTTCTGCTCCAATGCACGTTGCCTTGTCTCACCGCACGTTGCCTTCGTGTGAACGCAACTGCTTGTCGAATACACCACTCCCGAGCTCACCATCACCTGTTGCTTGCCTCGCCTCCTCGCTGCCACCGCCCTCCCTTGCCACCAGAATCGCGAACGCCAAGCAACACGAGCCTGAACACATCCACACCGGCACCCGCGTCGCCAGCAGCGACAACGGCTCCGACAGAGCCAACATCCCACTCCTCCCCAGCCACCGTCTCCCACCAGGAACAGCAGCAGCAGCAGCAGCAGCAGCAGCAGCAAGAACAAGAGCAGCGTGCTGCTGCTGAAGAAGACAAGACGAAAAAGCCTCCCACGCCTGCTGTTGAGGTGACAGCCCCTCCCACGCCGTCGACACCAGCAACAGACGCGAGCGCGACGCCGTCAACACCGTCCACGCCATCAACGCCGGCCTGTGGGGACGAGGATGCCAAGCGGGCAGAGATGCGACGGCAGCTGAGCGCGCGGCGTATGCAGCGGAAGCAGACGCAGAAGAAGGAGCTGGACGACGTTCTTCGCGTCATTTACGAACTCCCAGAGGAGTAGTGATGGCGGTGATGACGGCGGTAGTGGGTCATGGTGATAGTGGTGGTCACGGTTATGGTGGTGCTGATCCTGATGATGGTTATGATGGTGCCGTGGGTAGCGGGTTCTGGTTGTGTGCGCGTCGTTACAGTACAGCG